TATATATATATACGTACATATATGTGTATAATCATAAACTATGGCGTACATATATAGTGAGAAAACTGTATAATACGTGTATGTAAATATATTTTTTTACGATATAATTTTTATAATGAACATCAAAATTATACAGCGAACGAGTAAACGAGTTACGTAGTTCAACACAGTTGCATTGCTATTTTTCTTTTGTTTTCATCCATACTGATTAATGTCGCGCAAAATTTCAAATTTTGAGTCTATTTATAGAGTTATAGTATTCTTTATTAAAAAGCTGCGAACATCATTTTTATCGTAAGAAGCAAATCAAAATATTGGCAATACAAGTGGAACGACGTTTCACTTTACCAATCATCTACATTGCACTGATCTTAAAAAATGATCGCACTTGTCCTGACCGATTACATTACAAACAGTTTCGATTTTGATTTTAATTTTACTTTTACAGCATTTTAATTTCAGCATTACCTTTGTAACTTTCTTAGTTAAGTGATATGTCTTAAGATAATTTTTGCGCGCGAAATTTGTAATTACTTTATAATGCAATCTGAACAAGTTCCTTAATAATAACTTATTGTTATTAACTATTCCTCGTTTCACTCGCTCAACTATTCTCAAAATATGATAGTTAGTACACAAACTCCCCAGACGCGCACGTTATTTTTAATTACAGGAGATCTGTTTGAGATGGAAGTCGAGAACTCTAGCAAGGTAAGTTACGTTTTTTCAAGGAAGACAACAATAAAGCACAAAAGTAAAAATACGGGTAGATATTTACGGCGAATCGTGCTGCGCGGAGACGTTGTAAGACTTTGAGACGATGTAAAGACGTTAGTCGCAATAAACACATTAGACGGAAATTAATGTATACATTAGCAATGATCAATTACGATGTAAATATTTTTTAATTTAATGATTATTTTATATCAATATCCGTTTTATATCTATTTTGTTGTATCATGCGCTATTGAAAAGCAATTAATTCTTTTGACATCTCGAAAACTATGATAATCTATAATTCCCACGAGATTATTACCGATTTAATCAATGTACAACAAGAAGTACAACAAATTAAAAAAGTTAGAATATAACCTTTTCCAAGATTTAACAAACAATTCACTAATACTATTAATTTGTTAATTGATTTGTCATGCTACTGTCTCGAATATTTGTCTCCGGCAGTTGTTGGAGTATAATATAAGAACAATCATGTGTCATGTTAGCAATCGATTCTATATCTTTTATTCAGTTCTTACTTTTGACGATGAGTTTGGCAGATGTTTCTACGGTACCGGCTGAAGTTGTAGCGCGGCAAGTGAAGATGCCAGTATCCTCCTCGTAGGTAGTTGCTATCAGCAGCACCGCATTGCTCCCTTCATGAATCATCTGAAAATGATATATGCCATGTCTTTCCTGAATATCACGTCTAAATATGAAATTTCCTTCGATGCTTTATGGAAGAATGGTAAAATATTTACCTGAAAGTCTGGTGACTGTGGGATCAAGGCACCCTCTCGATACCACTGAATCGTCGGCTTGGGCTTTGCCGGACTCACTTGAGTTTTAAATTGAGCTGGTTGTCCCTCTATCACTATTTGATCTTTCAAAGGAGTCAATTTTGCCAGGACATCAGTTGTATCGGGCGCTAATTGAAAGTGGAAAAAAGTGATGCGTCAATGTCGTTAATAAAAAATTTAGAAAGATCGAATTTGAACTTTTTATTTTTTAATATTTATTATATTTTATGCTGTTGATAAAAATTTTTTTTAAATATTGAATTTGATTTTTTTTCTTTTTATCTTACCGAGAACTCTGAGATTGGCAGATGTTGTGACCTCACCAGCGGAATTTTTAGCAATGCATTTATAAACACCTTCGTCTTCGGGAAAGGCTTCAGAAATCCTCAGGGTACAGAAATCGCCTTCTTTTTGCATTTGAAAATACTTCGACGGTTTGATTACCTACACAAATAATGTAAGCATTCGCGAATAAAGTTATTTGAAAAATTCATTGTGTCAAAGTTATTTTATTGTAGCTATTATTTTATTATACATACCTTATCAGCTTTCTTCCATTGTATAGTGGGAATGGGCTTTCCTGCGATTCTACAAGCGAAAGCGACTGAAGTTCCTTCTTTAATGGTTTGATCTCTTAATGGCTCTAGAATAGTTGGCGCTTTTTCTATTGTTGGTGTTGTAGGTTTTGCGACCTTTGTTGGAGATTGAGGTCCGCGAACAGTACATTCCGCTTCGCAACGCGCTTCTCCAGCACTGTTAATCGCAACACATTCATATTTGCCAATGTCCTCTGGTACTGTCTCCAGAATCAGAAGTGTATAAATATTATCTTCTTCCAAAGTTTTATAACGGATATCCGTTATTATCTTTTTGCCGTTCTATAATAAAAAAGATTCAAACGTTAATTAATTTAAATTTTCTATTCACTATGTGCTATGTATAAAATCATCAATCGAATCGGCAAGTTTATAGCACATATACGTATATGTATTTTACTTATTTTACCTTGAGCCAATAAACATCCAAAGGTTTAGTGCCGGTAATTTTGGCGTCGAATCTAGCGAGTTGTCCGGTAGCAACAGAAGCGGATTGAATTGTGGATAAGAAACTGGGTGGTATCGCGCCACCTCGGCCAGGCTGCCTTCTGCGTTCCTCTACGACTAAATTGGCACTACATTTGGCTTTTCCTCCTCTATTCTCAGCGATGACGGAAAAGACACCAGAGTCTTCCATAAAAACTTGTCTGATAATTAACACCGATTTGGTGCTGAAGGTATAAATTTGAAGATCAGCTGAGTTTTGTATAGGAAAATCTTCGCGGTACCATTTGATAGTTGGCAGTGGATCGCCATCAAATTCAACTTCAAATTTGGCTTGTTCTTGCTCAAATGCTCTACAAGGTTGAATCTTCTTCGTAAAAATAGGAGGTTTGGCAGGTTTGACTTGACCTTGCACTACGCGTTCTTGTGTTTTCGCTTTATGTTCTACTTCTGTTGTCTCCGTTGCTGTAATTTTTCTCGTTATTTCTACATCACCCTTGACTTCTTTTTGTGTTTGTTTTTGTTTCGCAACATGAACTTCGCGACCATGAACTGTAGATTCAGATGGTTCTGGAGGATATTTTCCCGTGGCTTTAACGCGTTCTGTATCTATATCCACTTCAGTAACAAATGGTTTTTTTACATATTTTGGAGGTGGTTGTATAGGTTCTTGTTGCGGTTGTTCCTCTCTAGTAATAAGAAGTTACCAAATATTATTACTAAATATTTGAATATAGATTGCCAATATTATCAAATATTTGTAATACTTACAAACTTTCTTCATACTTTTGAGCCATTCCCTTTGCTAAGGAATGTGCAACGACTTTATCGCCAGGAATAGCAAATTGATGCGAAGCTTCTCTTAACCTGGTCTCTTTGAGCACTTGTTCCTCTTCGAGATTCATCAACTTGTTATAATAATCTTCATTTTTCTTGCTCTTGACGGATTTTTGCCACTCAGTCTCAGGTTCTTTAATAACTTTAGTGCCAAGATGCTCTGTGGCAATTTCGATTCCTTGGGAAACACTTTGATGACGTTCGTCGAACACACGCTCCAATTCTGTGTTTTGCCGCTCGGTCTGGTACTGTGTTAGTCCATAATCGTACCAGGCTAAAGAAACAATATCATGATATCTATGTGCCCTCGTATTTCGTACATCTCATATTTCTCATAAAGAAGAACGCGTATGGACATATCATGGATTGGTTTAATTTTGGATTCTTAATTAGCGAATACAGCGTCCTTCAATGAGGCATTTTTACAGGTATTATATAGCATTTGCATACATTTTTCCTTGAAAATGTAATAAATAATTTGCATTATAATTTATTGCAAGATCGGATTCAGATACCTCATTAAAGCAACGTTGCGTTTCTCTTAATTAAGAAACAAAAATATCTAATCGAAAACTACGATACCTAAGACACAGTACGTGAACGACGATACAACACATATCGACGACACCTAGATGACAGATAATAGGAATCGAGCTGGATATGGAAAATTCGCATGGTTAATACATATTTGAAATTGTTTTGCTTTCACATATTATCAAAAATATTGTTAGATTAAATTATTTGTTTCTCATGTACGTGCTCTCCTTCGTATTATGAGAAGGTTTTCTTTCAATTTAAAGAGAACAAATATTCTACTGAATCACGAAATTCCTTTGTTTGATTAACTAAATAATTTTACGTAAATCGTCGAATTTCATTTTTTTTCGACTAATTAGTTTTAATATACAATCGCTCGCTACTTTTCGTGCGAGGCATTAAAGGATGGGTAATATAGAAAACGCATATCCAAAAAGAAAAAAAAAAGGAAAGGATAAACAAAATGCAAGAAAAACAGCAAATTAAACACATAATAGTAATTAAGATCAAATTATATATTGATTGCGCAATATTGATGAGAGATACGGAATCTGCTCGATATTTGCACTTTTTACAAACAATACCTGACATGAATTATTTTATATAATAGTAAGGGAACAAAAAGTGTAGAATGCCTATAGTGCAATGAATAAGAATAAATATTAAACAAGGTAAATAGTCCACCCCACCTCTTCTTCCCTGCCTGGGGAAGTTCGACTTTCTACGCGAAGTAAGGTCCACTTTCATCAAAAGTCATCTTTAGGCAGAGAGGAAGGTGAGGTAGACTTTACTTCGAATGAAACGTCTTTACAAAATCACAAATTTTCTGTTTTAAAAACAAAATTTATATAAGAAAATAATGTTTTCAAAGAAAATTTTTGTTTTTAAAGCAGAAAATTTATTTTAAAGCAAAGAATTTTTGTTTTATAGCAGAACTTCTTCTGTTAAAAATTTTTTAACGAATAACGAACGATGGCTAAAACCTGTTGGAGGTCACCTAGGGTCACTTAGGGTCATGACCTTGACTACATATGTCAAGATTAAGATCGGGGCGAGTTCCTCCATCGGTACATTTATCTTAAATAAATATCTTAAATACAGATTAAGAGTTAAGTATAAACATAAGAAATAAATAAATTGAGATTAAATGAACTAACACACTAATGAGCAATAAACTCGCCGTATTCTCCAGCGCAACAATATATGATCGATTTATAAGAAAAAAAAACATTAATAAAAATATAAGACAATATTAACATTTTTCCGACGATTATATTTTTCATACCTGAATGTGAGAGATACGATACCTTTGATCTAAGATGCTCTAATATTCCCGTTGATATTTCCAACCATGACGAAGAAGAAGGAGAAGCAGAAGAAGCTGTCGGATTTGAGATGGTTTTTGTGGCTTTGGAATGCCAAATGTGGAAAGTAGGAAAGAAGGAATCATTTATGTTCGAATAGTTTAGAGTGTTCTCTGTATTCGAATGCATGTGTCGTATCGATATATAGAAAATGTACTGTGTTTCGGTTGCTCGATATTTTCCAATCTACGCTCGCTTTTTGCGAATCGTTATTGGAGATTTACAACCGTTTTTTTTTTCATTTTCACGTGTGATATATCTGTATTGTTGTAATCCATTCAAATTGTTACTGCGCATAAATTCTTCGTACTTTTCAAAATAGTTGCAGAAAGTTAATAATTAATTAATTAAATTTATACAATTTTTATATTCATATTTCTTTTGCTTACACAATCTCATTGTTCTATAAAAATATACTTTATTTCATTGTTAGGCACGAAGAAGTCATGGCCGTATATTTATATGAAAGGAGCGAAAACTTACGCCTTGGTGAATTTTTCAATACACCGCGGTAATCGTCGCTTCGTTGCTTCACCGTTAAAGTTGTTTCTGTACGTGCTTCGCCAACGGAGCTCCTTGCAATTACTTCAACTTTTCCATGATCGTACTGTCTGGTCTTTGGTATATCCAGATGATACATACCGTCGTACGTTAATTTATAGCGGGATCCCTGCATGAAAAAGAGAACAAATTTAATATGATTACACTATGAATATATTTTTACCAAAAGCATTGACATCATTTAATGTATTGCAAATGATATTTGGAAACTTACGTTGACTACCGTATGTCCATTGATTATCCACATAACTCGAGGTCTTGGGTAACCAGTGACTCGACAACAGAATCTAGAGCAGTCGCCTTCTTCGACGATTACCGGTTCCGGTTTGCTCACGAAAATAGGCGCCGAGCGTACTTTTTCTTGTTCACCTTCCTCTTCGGGTACTCTATAAGGTGCATTTGATGTTTTAAATATAATAATATTATACATATTATCATTTCATATTGTCGCGATGATTTTTCGTTGTAATATGGACAAATAAATATTTAAAGAAAACAATTTGTTTTCTTTTGGAAAGTCTTTTTTCTTGAAAATAATGTCTCAAGATACATATAAAATGGAAATAAATTTTGTGTCTTAATTTTATCAGTTAAAGAAATTATTTTTCTTGTAGGTACACAAAAAATGAAGCGTAAAATAATATCTTACATTTGCCATGCCGCTTCCATTTCTCTAATTTTCTCGATGCTTTTCATGCCTTTTGGAAGTTGAGACTCATAGATAATTCCTGGTTTTCCCGCAGTTTTGATTATAGCTCTGGTCTCGTCCATTCCATACAGATTCGTAGCTCTGCATAAATACTCGCCACTGTCTTCTGGATAAACCCAACCAAAGTTCATTGCTACATAGCCAAAATCATAAATAGGCGTAAATCGATTCTTATGAGGTAATGGTTTCCCGTTAAAGAACCATTCGACTTTCATATTTGGATCACCCACAGGTGCCAATTGGCATTCAAATTTGGTACTATTCATTTCAACAAGATCGGTCTGATCTTGAATCTGCGTGACAAAACGAGGCGGTTGTTTTTTATCCGCATCATATAGATCGTCTTCGGTTAAATGTATTTCCGAAGTATATTTTTTAATTGTCGCTTCCATCTGCATCAAGGCCTCGGATTTTTTCATACCTTTTGGTACTTGATTTTGTAGAATAATGCTTGGTAATTCTGTGAAAAAAAATATTTATTTGAATCCTCATTGATACAACTAATTTAGCTTGAAAAATGAAAACTGGTAAAAAATTAAAAGATAACATACTCTTGCAAGATACAGCAGCTCGAGTGGTATCTTCTCCAAGATTATTGATGGCTTTGCAAACATATTCACCAGAATCCTCAGGATAAACATATAAGATATCCATAGACACAAATCCCATATCGTAAACCGTTCTATATCTGTGCCCAGCAGGTATCAATTTGCCATTTCTGTACCACTCGATGCGTAGATTCGAGTCCTCTTTGGGCTCTACACGGCATTCGAATCTGACTGGTTCACCCTCGTCAACAGTTGTCGATTGGATTTGCGTAATGAAATGAGGCGGTTGTTGCGGTGCTTCTTCCGCAGGAGCTTGAGAGACCGGTCCTCGTTCTAGTTCTTTTAGCTTTTCACCGCTCATTCCCATTGGTAATTGAGAATCAAAATCTATCGTTTTCTTGGCTATAAGAGAGAACGAAACAAGAAATTATTTCTGTTTTATACTATAATAGTTAAGATATAAAAGTATATCTACATTTTTAAGATCGAAAATGCAACTTACATTTACAAGTAATGGTAGCCTTGGTTGTAGCAGACCCCCACTTGTTTGTAGCTCTGCAGACATATTCGCCGCTATCTCGTGCATATGTATACGACATATCCAATGATATAAATCCAAAATCATTAATTTGATGGACACGAGAACCTGTTGCGAAGGGCCGTCCATTGTGGAACCAATCAATACGCATAGTAGGATCACCCACAGGCTCGACTCTACAGTCGAAGTGACTCGGTCCAGCTTCTTCAACTTCAATATCTTTAAGTTCGACAATGAATTTCGGTGGATTCGGCGTTTCTTCCTCCGCCAAAATCTCATCTTTCTTATATAGGGACTCTTCCAGTTTTTGAATGCTTTCCGTACCGGTTTTAAAATTATTCGGTAATTGAGGCTCCAGGATGATACCTTGACGTCCACGAACTTGAAGCTTGCATGATACTGTGGCTTCACCATGACGATTGGTGGCTTTACAAGTATATAAGCCGGAATCGCGTTGATAGCAATTTGCAACTTCTAGAATGACGAAACCAAAGTCATGAATCGTTTTGACTCTACTACCAGCGAGAAGAGGCTTGCCGTTGTGGAACCATTCGACTCTCATGCTAGAATCGTTAATTGGCTGTAGTCGGCACTCGAAGTGAGCAAGAGAATTTTCAGTCAAAGTTAAATCAGAAGGAGTCGTGATAAATTCTGGCGGTCTACCAGTATCGTCCTCGAGACTGATCTGACCTGAAGCAGCTCCAAGACCTTCCAACTCAGCAATCTTATCAATTGTACTCTCCATACCTTTGGGTAACTGAGATTCCAAAATAATACTGCGTTTGCCCGTACACTTCATTGTGCACGTTGTCACTGCCTCACCGTAGTCATTTGTTGCTCTACAACTATATTCGCCAGAGTCTTCAGGGTAGATAGGAGAAATTTCCAAAATGACGAAACCAAAATCGCAAAATGTGCGGAAGCGAGATCCTGTTCGCAATGGTTTACCATTCCAAAACCATTCGACCTGTATCAAAAAGAACAATATAATAAAACGTACATATTTATATGCGTATGATATATAGACTAAAATTAAATGAAATTTAATTTACCTTTAATTTTGGATCGTCCGTAGGAATTACTCGTGCCTCGAAATGCGCACTTTCTCCCTCTCGTAGACCATCGACGTTACTCAAAGGTACAGTGAACATAGGAGCTTTGCCTCGTTCTTCTACAATTTTTTCGTCTTTCGTACGTATCATTGAGTCTTCAAGATTTTGTATTTTTTCTAGGCCGCCTTCCATGCCCTTTGGAAGTTGCGATTCCAAAACAAGATTAGTTTTGGAGAAGCATTTGAGCGTTGCTCTCGTAGAATCTTCACCATATTTATTGACGGCCCTGCATTCGTAAACTCCAGAATTCTCTTCGTAACAATAGAGTATATCTAAGATAACGATACCAAAGTCATGAAAAGTGCGATATCGATGGCCGTGAGGAAGTTTCTTGCCGTTGTAATACCACTCGACTTTCAAATCGGGATCGTTCACTGGGGTCAGCCTAGCCTCGAAGTGTGCGGACTGCCCTTCTACCAGTTTTGTTATGTCCGCGATCTGCGTGATAAATTTCGGTGGTTCAGCGACAGGAGTCGTAGATGTAGTTGTTTGTTCTCCCGTATAACTTTCGAGTTCTCGAATTCTAGCAAGCGAATCCGGCTGAAGGGAATCTAAGTAAACTCCGCTCTTGCCAAAGCACTTGATCGTAGCTTTTGTATAATCTTCGCCATATTTATTGCTAGCTTTGCAAACGTATTCTCCGCTGTCGTGAGACATCACACCGGCAATATCCATAACTACAAAGCCGAAATCAGAGACCATCTTGAAACGTGACGAATGCCGTAGAGGTTTTCCATTGTGGAACCACTCGACTTTCATATGAGGATCACCTACTGGGATTAGGGTACACTCAAAGTGAGCTGATTGGCCATCCTTTAAACCTTCCAAAGATTGAATTTGCGTTGTAAATTTAGGTTTCTGTCCCTTGGACTTGTCGATACATTCTAATTGCACGCTAATTTCTGCTTTACCCCATTTGTTGGTGGCTCTACAAGTATAAGTACCCGAATCTTCTATTTTAGTACCGAGAACTTCGAGAACAACCATGCCGAAAGCGTAAACGGTTCTCGTGCGATGACTAGCTTCTAAAGATTTACCATTGTAGAACCATTCAACTACCATAGTTTGATCACCAGTAGGGATGAGAGATGCTTCAAAGTGAGCGATCTCTCCTTCCGAGAGATTAGTCAAATTCTCGAATTGCGATGTAAACATTGGTGGTTGGCCTTCTTCCTCTCCTAGAGGGGCTCCTTCTTGCCGTTTCAAAGATTCCTCCAAATCTTGAATTGCTTCGAGACCTTCTTTGCCTTTGGGATGCTGCGACTTTTCGATGATATTTTCCTTCGTAGAACAATAAACCGTCGTCGAAGTGAAAGCTTCGCCTGCTTTGTTATAGGCCTTACAAGTATAAATACCAGAGTCACGCTCATAAACGTCCGTTAAGTCCAAAGTGACAAATCCAAAATCGCTAGTCATTTTAAAGCGTGAACCATGTTCTAAAGGTTTTCCATTAAAGTACCACTCAATCTTTAAATTAGGATCATCCTTTGGCTCAACTTGTCCTTCTAGATGTAATGGTTCAGCTTCTCCCAATTTAAATTCAGGCCCAAGAGGCACCGTCCAGATTGGTTTAGGATATTCATGTTCAGGAACTTCTTCTGGTCTCCTGTATTTTGATAGATAAGCATCTTCGGCTTCTTTTACTTTCTCAAGTCCGACTTCTCCTTGTGGATGTTGCGTTTGAAGATAAATATTTTGCTTGCTAGTACATTTTAAAGTACCAGATGTCTGTGCACTTCCTTTTGAATTTGTAGCTTTAACGGTAATAACTCCAGAATCTTCTTCGTAAGCGTGAGTCAAGTCCATAGCCACGTAACCAAAATCATAAGTGCTTTTAAATCTCGCACCAGTCGGCAAAGGTTTATTGTTCAAAAACCATTCAATCTTCATAGTTGGATCTTTCGACGGTTCTACATTGCATTCGAAGTGAGCGTTATCACCTTCGATACACTCTACATTATTTAAATGAGTGATAAAAACTGGTTCTTCGTAAGTAGGTTCCGGTTGATCAGTAGAGATTCTCTGAGGCTGTTCCAAAGCATCGATTTTCGATAGAGCATCAGGATGCAAAGTATCTCCCAATAACCAATGACGATCGGCAATTTTCAAACTACAAGTTGACACCGCTTCTCCCAAAAGATTAGTTGCTTTGCATGTATAAATTGCGGAATCATCAGGTCTTAGCCCGTTGATCGATAGTGTTACTAGACCGAAATCAAACGTACTACGAAGCCTCGTTCCAGTTTGAAGAGTTATACCGTTCTTAAACCATTCCACTCTCAAATTAGGATCCGCCCGCGGCTCCACCTGAGCTTCTAAATAGACACGTTGTCCCTCTATCAATTTATCGAAACTTTCGAGATGTTTAGTGAAAACTGGTGCCTGCTGCGGAGTTGTATCAACAAACATTTCTGGCACTTTATTCATTTCTGCTTCTTTTAATTGAATCTTCTGCCACGCATCCGTTTGTATGCTATCGGAATCGATGGCTGAACGCGCTTTTACTTTCAAAGAGATCGACGATATTGCTTCTCCTGCATTGTTAATTGCTTTGCAAGTATAGACTCCAGAGTCTTCAGGGATAACTTTTAGAATGTCCAATGTTACGTATCCGAAGTCATGATTTACGTGGAAACGTGACCCTAAATATCGATGCACAATGATTTTGTTAATATTACATAACTGCGACACTATAATAGTAATTTAACGCTAAAGAACTTATGGCTATCTTACCCATTTTTAATTCAACTCCGTTCATGTACCATTCGAATCTTAAACTCGCGTCGCCGACAGGAACGACTCTGCATTCGTATCTAGCCATTTGTCCTTCCCAAAGTTCCGTTGGTCCAGTTAGCAACTGTGTGAAAATCGGTTTATCAAACATTTTTTCCGGTTCTTCGGGTCGTCCGGCTTCCTTGGCTTCTAACTGAGCGATTCTACGTTGGGCCTCTGGATGCTGAGTATCTAACTGTATGCTCGCCTTAGCTATACGTGTTAATATATGAGAATAATTTATTAAATAGATTAAATAATTAATTGTACTAAAAATTACTCGTTAAAAAATCAATTTTGATTTTATTATAATTAAATAGATAAAAAACTTATTTACTTTTAATCTTCATTGAAGCTGTGGTAACCGCTTCGCCCAGTGGATTAGATGCGCGACACATGTAAACTCCTTCATCTTTGTCACGTACGTGAGCAATATCCAGAGATACATATCCAAAGTCATGCACTTTTGTGATTCGCGAACCTAAAAAAATTACAGTAAAAATTTATTCCATACGAGAATTGTATTATCGCAGTATTATAGAATTATATTAATAATTTGCGTTTTAATATTTAACTTTTGTTAGAAATTCTTACTTGTCTCAAGAGGCACTTCGTTTCTAAACCATTCCACTTTGAGCATAGGATCACCTACTGGTATGAGTCTGCATTCGAAATGCGCAGTGTGACCTTCAGTAATATTATCGATATTTTGCAATGGTTGCGTGAAGACTGGTCGCTGTCGAGTTTGAGGCTCTGGAATCTCTGGTCTCTTCCATGGTTGTTGGGCTTCGAGCTCCCTGATTTTATCCATTCCTTCCGGCCGTTGAGAATCCAGAATAATGTTATCTCTTGGGATTACTTTAAGTTCGATTGATGATACGCATTGTCCTAACGCGTTAATCGCTCGTACGGAATATTGTCCTGCATCTTCGGGAACGGCATGACCAATGTCCAAAGCTACATATCCAAAATCGAAAGTCACATGGAAACGCGCTGCCGATGGTAATGGTTTACCATTGTGAAAGAATTCGATTCTTAGATTTGCGTCATGCAGAGGCTCTACTTGACACTCGAAGTGAGCTGTTTGCCCCTCATATACTTCAGTTGTACCCTAAAAAAATTTTTTGTATTTACTTCCTTCGCTTCATTTATTGAGCTTTATATATTTCCCACAATAACAGGTATCAGTAATTTATATAAGTTGCTTTTTTATCATTCTCATTATTATTATTATTATTCATACTGTTATTATTATTTACCCTAAGTTCAGAGACAAATCTCGGTGGTGTTACTGGCGGTTCCTCAATTTCTAATCGTGCAGGATGACCCTGAGACTCTAATTCTCGAATCTTTTCTAAACCATCCGGATGTTGGGTATCCAAAAGAATACTCCGTCGTGCTATGATAAAAAACGAGATTATAATTATTTTGTTATTATGTGCTTACTTTTTTAAATAAAATGAATCTGATTTTACGATCAATCTTGATCCAAAGAGTTAGAATTGATTCGATGTTTCTTGAAATATCATGTAATATGGTTAATGATTTTTTAAAGTATAATATCTTTATATCGTTTGCAAGACATAACTTGTTTGAGTTTGCAAGATAGATTTATGGACTTTAAAGAAAATCTTCTTTATAGAGGTACTTGCTACTCCATCTGACAAATAGTTTTTTTTTGTTCATAAATTTTATCGCTGTTTATATGAACGTTTTGTCGAGTTCTGTTGTCGAATTTGTTCGTTCTTCACCGGTGAAAAATTAGACTTCGGATAGAGTGTATTTTTTGCTGACAATTACGTAGAACAATTAGCATAAAACTATAACATAGTACAGATATCTCGATTTAACATGTTGCATGATATTGTAGATACATACAGCTGACTTTGATAGTGCAAGTATTAACGGCTTCTCCAACTAGGTTGGTTGCTTTACACATGTAAGTACCAGAATCTTCAGGATAGGTATAAAGAATATCAAGAGCAACATAGCCAAAATCATGTGTTGTACGGAAGCGATGACCAGTTTTAATCGCAACTCCATTAACAAACCTATAAAATCAAAGAGAATTCAATCAAGAACTTATTCAGCATTGTATTAAAGTTATCATTATATCGTTTTGTGTGTGTGTGTGTGTGTGTGTGTGTGTGTGTGTGTGTGTGTGTGTGTGTGTGTGTGTGTGGTATGTATTGAATATTGAGTATACCATTCGATTTTCAAGTTCGGATCGTTAATCGGCTCCACACGACATTCTAAATGAGCGTGTTCGCCTTCCTTGAGATGATCCAGATTGTTCAACGGTGTCAAAAATACAGGTTTCTGATGAATAACCTCTTTTTCTATTTCTTCTTTAACTTCGACAGTTTCCAGCTCTCGAATTTTTTGCAAACGTTGTGCATCCAACGTATCGAGACATAAGCCTTGTTTTGCTATTTAAATCAAAATAATTGGTACATCATATATTCACACTTTTTTAATAATTAAAATTGTAAATAACAAGTTATATAAAATTTCATTTGCACTTGTAAATTTGCAAAGTAAACATATGAAAAATTATCTCGCTTTATCTCGTATTCTTTCGTTTGTTTTGAAAGACCACGAAAAAAGGACATTATTTAACGAATATACGGTGATCACACTAAATATAGTTTATGAAAATATATTATATAGTATAAATATAAAATATTACTTACAATCCACGCTGATCACGCAAGTAGTGATCGCTTCGCCTACAGCGTTTCTTGCTTTGCACATATAGGTACCAGAATCTTCAGGATAAGCATAGAGAATATCGAGAGCGACGTATCCAAAATCGTAGGTTGTTTTAAATTTATGTCCTTGAGGAATGGGACGTCCATTTCTAAACCATTCGACAACCATCGTCGGATCATTCACAGGAGTCAGCGTAGCTTCGAGATGAGCGTTTTTGCCTTCTGGAAGATGCTCAATATTTTTCAATGGTCGTCCGAAAGTGGGCTTCTCAGCGATGATCGTATCTTCTTCGATCACTCGTTTATACCTTGAATCATCTTCAAGATATTGTATTTTTTTCAATGCGCTCTCGTGTTGCGTGTCATGAATAATTGATGCTCGAGCTAGAAAGAGATTTTTATTTAAATTAATGCAAAGAGATATAAAGAAGAGAAAAAATATATATAATGAGGCTTGAAAGAAATCTATCAGTGAAAAATGTAAAAAAGCCCATCAGAGCTTACATCAGCTATTCGGATGCACAAAAATTCTTTATTTTTCGTGTGAATGTAACAAAACAAATAAAATAGATATCTATTTTAACTGATGTAGGCTCTGAAGAAGAGAAAACTTAAATTCAAGGTAAAGAAGAATAAAATATAATGTGTAAATTAAAGTTAACAATTAAAAAAAAAATGCTGCATACATGCTACATACACAATAAAATCGACTAATCCAAGCTACGTTATCATGCAAATGTCCTCGTGTATTACTCACACTTCACGTTAAGATTAATCGAGCTCTTCGCCGATCCCAATTTATTAGTGGCTTGACAAGCATAAGTGCCCGAATCTTCGGCATATACGGTCAATACATCCAACGATGCGAATCCAAAATCACAAGTAGTTCTGTATCTGTGACCAGTGGATAATGGTTTGCCATTGTGAAACCATTCCACTTTCATGTTGGGATCAGGGTAAGGTTCTATGCGACACTCATAATGTGCGCTTTGTCCTTCGACTAAACTGGTAGGTCCGTTCAGTTGTACCGTAAAGGATGGCTTATCTTTTACCACAATCTCCTCCTCCTCATGACGTTGATATTTCGTAGTATCTTCCAGGGCTTGAAGTTTCGATAAAGCGCCCTCATGTTGTGATTCGAACTGCAACGCTGCCTTAGCTGCATTTTGTAAGAATTTTTAACATAGCGCATTGTACGAATCGTCCCAAGAAATCATACATGTCGAATGTATTCCATGAAACAACTAAAGTTTGCAGTAGACTCGTAATATATCGAGTAAATACGCAATACTTATTTGTAGATAGTAACAAATAAGTTTAACAATAATACATCAAATCAATAAAGTAAAAATATAATTTTTTTTTAAATGTAATATTGAGTTACATGGCAAATCGGTATAAAATTTCAAACCATTTCAGTTTAACGATATAATTAAAGTAAATGTTAATATTGTTAATTAATACCAGGATAATGTATCAAATTTACAAAAAGTAAGTATTATCGATTATTTTAAAATTAGTTTGCAGGTTGTATGAAATATTTTCGTAAATATATACCTGAGTTAAATTAACACGATATACTTACATTGAACGAACAATGTTGCTGAAGTAACTGCTTCTCCAAGTTCGTTTGTAGCACGACATGTATAAGTGCCTGAATCTTCGGGATTAACGTACTTCATATTTAAAGCGACATATCCAAAATCGTGCATGGTCGTTACTCGATTTGCTTTTGAAAAGTTAAAAATTGTTTGAAATATATTTTAAAAATAATTCTGATATACTTTTATGTTATATAAATTATAAATTCACAAAATATTAGGCTTACAAGCTGAAATAGGAACTCCATTACGTAGCCATTCTACTTTGAGTTTAGGATCTCCAACTGGAATAACACGTGCTTCAAAGTGTGCTGCTTGATTCTCAGCAACACGAAGATCTTTTATCGGCATCGTAAATACAGGAGCTTGCGTAATAATTTCCTCAGTTGTAGCTTTACGTTGATAACGAGACGTGTCCTCCAACGAGCGAAGACGTTGAAGAGTTTCTTCGCTCTGAGTCTCTGTGTAGATTGACTTTTTAGCTATGGATAAAAAATAGTAAAAAATTAGTAAAAATAGTAAAAATTAATGCTATTGATACTGGAAGAAATTATCGAATAAATCTTTAAGTGACGAATCTTACAGTGAACGATAGCGGTTGCAGAAGTGATGGCTTCACCAATAATATTTTTAGCTCTGCAAGTATAGGTCCCAGAATCTTCGGGATACGCGTACATAATATCGAGAGCAACAAAACCAAAATTGTTTGTTTCAATGAATCTTGAGCCTGCTTTCACTGGTTTGTTATTATGGAACCATTCGATTTTCATTGTTGCATCGGACACTGGAATTAATCTACATTCAAAATGTGCTCGCTGGCCCTCTTTTATCTCGACATTATTTAATGAAGTTGTGAAAATAGGCGCCTGAGTTGTAGTTTCTTCAATAACTTCTTGTCTTTGATATTTGGATTTATCCTCAAGATAATGAATCTGTTCAAGTCCAAGTTCGTTTTGCGTGTCCGTTAATATTTGTGCGCTCGAGCGACACGTTAAAGTACAGAGTACTTCGTCACTTCCTACCAGATTAACAGCACGACAAGTGTACGTTCCAGAATCCTCGGCAATCAAATCAATTACGTCCAATGCAACGTAACCAAAATCATGAATTGGACGAAAGCGGTGTCCTGCAAATTGATTTGCATAAGATTAAATATAATTTCATGGATGCGAACTGAATATTTAGATGAGAAAAGAAATTTGAGAAAAGAAAAATATGATTAGATAATATATGATTCGTTTATATATGTTACTATTGCAGAAGAAACAATAAATTACCTATCGTTACTGGATGACCATTTTTAAACCATTCGACTTTTAAATTCGGATCCGTTACCGGCTCCAATTTGCACTCGAAATGTGCATGTTGTCCTTCTCGAAGATTTTCTTGGTTTTTTGGTTTTGTAATAAATTTCGGCTTTACAATGACGACTTCATCCACTAATTCGTGCCTTTTGTATCGTGACGCATCCTCCAAGTACTGTATTCTTTCCAATCCTTCGGGATGTTGAGACTCTAGAAGTAAATCTTTTTTGGCGTGTACTCTTACAGAACACGAAGTAATTGCTTCACCGAGCTGATTTCTAGCTTGGCACGTATATACGCCAGAATCTTCAGGATAAACGCCGAGAATATCTAGGGCCACATAATCAAATTCGTAAGATGGTCTGAATCGGTGACCAGTTTTGACCGGTCGACCATTAACGAACCAATCGACTTTCATAGTAACATCACCAATTGGTTGAAGGCGACATTCGAGATGGACATTGGTCAATTCTACCGTCTCAATATTGTGCAAAGGTCGGGTGAACTGAGGTGCTTGCATCACCGTAACATCTTCGTGTTGAGTTTTGCGATATCTATAAATGAATGAAATAATGAATAAGACAAATAATCATGGAAAAATATATGAATTACAAGGTGATAAATAAAAGCAAACCTTGATGCATCTTCCAATATCTGTATCTGCTCAAGTGATTGTTCATTTTGTGTTTCAGTGACGATGTCAGACCTTCCGATAATTCTGACGCAAGCAGAAGTATGTGCGGTACCCAGATGATTAGTAGCTCTGACTGTATATTCGCCAGAATCATAAACGGTAGTGTGTACTATATCGAGTGCGACAAATCCGAAATCGTAGTAAGTTCTGAATCTAGAACCGACTGTGACCGGACGTCCGTTTTGGAACCATTCAACTCTCATTGTAGGATCGCCCATCGGTTCCAAACGACACTCCAAGTGAATATTTTTGCCCTCACTAACTGGCTTAGGATCACTCAACGGCTGGATAAAAATTGGTTTTGATTTAGAGATCTCTTCGATATGATACTGCGGCTCAACAAATTTGGAATCTTCTAAACGTTGAGTTTTTTCATAAGTTCCGCGATGCATGCTGCTGGTATCTATGCTGGAACGCGCTAAAACGAAGAATTAACGAAGCTCATAATAATTGTTTAGCTCTTTGCAAATTACTTCAATGCTGCATAAATAAAATAGTAAAATCTTACTTTCTACGGTCATGGTGGCAGATAAACGAGCTTCTCCACGGGAATTTCTAGCCACAACGGTATATGTACCAGCGTCTTCAGGACGAACTTGAAGAATATCAATGGAAACGTATCCGAAATCGTGATACGTTTGGATTCTATTAGCGGCAGTAATAGGTTTGCCGTTGTGATACCACTCGATCTTCATACTCAGATCACTTTGAGGTTCAACGCGTGCCTCAAAATGCGCCCGTTGACCTTCTACGATCTTATTGGTACCTTTAAGATTACCTAAAAATCGTGGTGCTTGTGTAATCTGCGTTTCTTCTTGAACCTGTCGTGAATATCTACTCGAATCTTCGAGAGATTGAATTTTTTGGAGACCAGTAGGATGCTGGCTGTCATAAATAACATCATTTTTGCTGATCACACTTAATTGAGCGGTAGTGTGAGCTTCACCGGCTCTGTTGTAGGCTCGGCAAGTATACACGCCAACATCGTGTATCGTTACGTATTTGATGGTCAATGCCACGTATCCGAAATTGAAAAAAGTTGTAATCCGAGAACCTAATCCCGAAAATATTCCGTGAATATAAATATATGATATACGTTTTGGTGAAAAAAATTATTATTACTTACTAGCTTCTACAGGTCGTCCATCTTTTAGCCACTCAACACGGAGGTCGGCATCACCGATTGGTTCGAGACGCGCTTCAAAATGAGCGAATCCACCTTCTCGTATGCTACTTTGATCCTTAATAGGCGATTTAAATTCCGGTGGGCTACTCGCTTCAGGCTGCTCCTGCACATACTTTTGGTGCATCGCCTGTTGATATGCTTCCAATTCCTCGGCAGCCTCTATGTATCTCAGTTGTTCGGGAATACCCAAGTCTGTTGTTACGCTTGTTCGCGCTACACAATAATTAAGACATCAATATTCCAGAATATTGAAAAAAAAAAATTATTCGAGAAACATTTGTTTGAGAATAATTCTCCGTAACAAAACTAAGACTCACCAAAGACACGAAGAGTCGCGGAGCTGATGGCCTCTCCCAAGCGGTTCACAGCTCTGACAGTATAAGAACCTGCATCTTCAGCCCGTAGGTGCATTATATTGAGTGAGACGTATCCGAAGTTGAAGATGCTAGTAATTCTTGAGCCTAATAAATAATTAATATAGTTTTTTATAATATTTTTTTTTAACTATTAAAATCGTTTGTTTTTAAATATATCAATACTCACTCGCTGTGATTGGTTTTCCATCCTTGTACCACTCCACTTTCATGGTAGGATCGCTAACAGGCGTCAATTGCGCCTCGAAATGGGCGTTACGACCTTCCTGTAACTCACCAAGATCCTGGAGCGGGCGGATGAAAACCGGCCGCTGTGAAGAGGTCTCCTCCACGCTCTCCTGTCTTTGATATTTGCTGTAATCCTCGAGCTGCTGAATGTATTGAAGGCTGTCGGGGTGTTGGCTTGCTTGTTCAATCGTGGCACGTGCTGAAAAAAGGAAATAATTTATAATTATATAGAATATAGTTATATTGAGCAGAGATAATAATTTGTCGCAAGAGAAATCTATAAAATATTCTTTACTCACGGGTTACACTGAGGGTGGCTCGAGAATCGGCAATTCCGGTCGAGCTTACAACGCGGCACAAATACTCGCCGCTATCTTGAAGAACGATACTAATGAGATCGAGTGAAATAAAACCGAAGCGAAAGACGGAAGTCGCCCGGGAACCTGTAAAAGATACATGCGCAAATTGATTGACTCGAAGATAATGCTTTGTTGAATAAAAAAAATTAGATGTAAAAATTTTTTACTCACTTGCGTCGAGTGTTCTGCCATTGACATACCACTCCACCCTCATAGTGGGGTCGCCCACCGGTTCGATTCTGGCCTCGAAGTGAATTCGTCCACCTTCAATTTGATGAACATCCTTTAGCGGTATAATGAAACGTGGCGGAGGATAAATTTTGTCTTCTTCAGGAGGCGGCAAATAAGGTTTCGCACGTTCCACATGTCTCAGGTAAATTACTTCGGGGCCAGGCGCTGGTCTGCAAATATTTATTATTTACTTTATCTCACAAATATTTATTATTCAGTTTATCTCACTAAAAGTCAATAGACTTTTTACTAAAAAAAATAAAAGTCAATTTTTTGAATAGTATAAAGTTTTGACTCTTCGTTTTATATATATCTGCGCTTCAATGGGAATATATAATAAAATAAAACATAGAAAGATCAATGTTAATTTGTCAATTTGATGAACACTTGAGAAGTCTCTCACTCTGGTTCGATGACTTTCGTAGGTCGGGGTAAATTCAGGCGTCTTGGTTCCGGGGTCGTTCCTTTTGGCGTTTCTACAAAGAGCCGTGCTCGAGTTGCGGTGGAGCCGGCTATATTTTGCGCTGTACACTGGTACCAGGCTGCATCTGAAAATTTGGCGCATGGGATGTCTAAAGTCGAAGCTCCGTTACCATCACTCGATATACGTATTTCGGGACAAGGCGTTATCGGTACGCCATCCTGCAAAAATTTTTGGTGTCAGGGAAATTGTGATTATATAAGCAGATAAAATTTCGAATAAATTATTATACTTTTTGCCATGTGATTCGTGGAATGGGCGTGCCGACTGCACGTGCCATAAAGATCACAGGTTCTCCTTCCTTTACTCCCGTTGTAACAAAACGTTCGACAAATTTCGGCGCAACTACCTGTTCTTTTTCGATAACGCTTAAATTGCATTGACAAGAAGTTTCACCGGCTTTATTCCGCGCAATGCACGTTACTACGCCAGCGTCGGCGCGGTTCACATTCGTGATCATTAATGAATTGTTACCAGATTCATTTACAAGGATTTTATGAGTCATGTCATTGGCGACTTGTTGGTCATTTATATACCAAGTGACTTCAGGATATGGACGGCCAGTTACGCGACAGTCGAATCTGAAATATGTTGTTTGTTAATACCTCATGTTAATATCATAAACACTACTCATCGAAAATGATATGATATTTAAGAGCGAAAAAAAGCTGAAAAGCTGAAAAGCTTTATATACTAAAAATAAAACAAGTCAAAACGAACCGCGTCATTTTGCCTTCGGTAGCTTCCTTATCTGTGATGGTACGAACGAAATTCGGTGGCAGAACCTTGCTAGAGTCAACAGATTCATTGATTGAATCTATTTGTTGAGTCTTAATAAATTCCCTTTGATGCGCTTGATACGGAACTTGATCTACTTGATCGCTGGATTCAATTGCTAGATAAGCGGAGCTAACGGTACAACCTTGAGGATTCTCAGACAATAATGTATAATGACCGCTGTCTTCTGGCAGAGCGACTCGAATTCGTAAAGTAGCCTGCTGATTTGAATAGCTCGTTTCTAGTCGTTGAGAATCTCGAATTCTCTGACCATTTTTGAACCATGTTAACTACAACAATTTAGCATATACTAAGTTAATAAGCTTATACGTTAGGTATTTTATGAACAATTAAATATCTCGTTTAATGATAGCAGATGATGTAGAAATACGACTTAGAGAAAATAATTATAAAAATAATTTTATATATATTGTATATATACATATAAAACATTGAAGAGTAAAATGTATTGTAAATTTCTTTGATATTTCAGTTCTTTCAATGCAACTTGAACTTACTCTTGGTTTCGGATTGCCAGTTATTTTTGCGGTAAAGACAGCGTCCGATCCTTCAACGATCTTCGAGTTTCTCGGTTTCTGAGTAATTTGTGGAGGTGCGACCGGGCCTAGGGTACGATCAACTACTGTAGAAATTTGCAAGTCGGATTCATTCGCAAAACGGCGAGTAATTGATTCACGGAATTCCAATTCGCGCAACAATCTGTATTCAAAGGTATCAACCTGCACATTTAAAAAGTAAGTAATATTACTTTAAGTGTTCTTATATTGTTATTCAAAGCAGCATATATCAAGTATTTAGCTATAATACCTTAAAATCTTCAATGCTTGTAGTTGTGCCATTGATGTAACTTCGTTTATCGGTTATTTGTTGATAACTGCGTTGTTGAAAGATTTGACTTCCACTTTGCATTTTCTGGTCGCTAGTTTGAAAACTTTGCGAAAATTCTTTCTTGTAACTATCTGTTAGTTGTTGCGCTGGAGGACCAAATCCCTCTGGCTGTATGTAAACTGAGCAAATAGCTTCGCCTGAAAAGTGGAGGAAACATGTGACATGCTTTTTTCATTTGTTTTGTGTTCTAACGTTGATTCCAACAGAAGAACAGAATGTTTAAAGAATATGTATTCTAAGTGGAAACCATAGAAAAGAATCTCTACCATATTGGTTCTTTGCATTGCATGTGTACTCGCCCTCGTCCCCCGGACCGATCTGATTAATTTGGAGTGTGACAATTCCAGAATTTTCATTATAAGACATTCGAATCTTTCGTGATTCTAGCAATGGCATCCCTTTGTGTGTCCAAGAAACTGATGGTCTCGGATTACCTCGAACACAACCTTCAAAAATCGCGTTACCTCCTTGCGCGAATCTCGCATTTTTGAAGATTCGCTCGAAAATCGGTGGTGAAGGATCTCCGGGTTTACCCGTAAATCTGCCAATAATTTAATGAGATCATGTTAAAAATATTATTGATGATAGCTATATTTCTCTTATAGCTACAACAATACTATAATTAATGAATGTTGTAATACTTACACTGGTACCGTTGGCGTCGTTTGCATAACGACCTCTCCTTGAACTGCAGAAATAAAAGAAATAAATGAAAATTAATTTTTTTCTATATGTATAATTAGAATGTAAATAATATTAAACATAAAAATTAATCTTTTATCAGGAATTAAATTCAATTCCCCCTCCCCAATGGAAGGATTATAAACTTCCATATATTTTCGCAATGGTTCGTTCTCAGGCTAACGAGTAAATTGATTTAAATTACGATGCATCCCGATGTAGACATAATTTGATGAAAAAAATGCGGCATCGTCATCGCGCGTAACGGCGACAGGAAAATAACAGCTTGTGAACGGTTCGTTTCCTCGATTCGTTCTACCCTAATTGGAAAGTACGACAGAAGTTATACGAGGAAGAAAGATGTACACACATAGTGATTTAAATGTGATCATGTACAGTTTTGCTCGAGCAATAAACGAATAAATTTCAGAAGATAATCAGTAGCTAAATAAAATCTACATAATAACATTAAAATTTAAAAGGATGGATTTAAATATTATAACATAAAAAAATAAGATTATTAATTGAAATTTTTATGTTTGCAGATATTTCTATAGGTTATCTTCTTCATTTCGGAAATAAAATTTAATAATTCAGTCTATGTATAAAAGACGAAAACTAGCTATTGATTAATTATTTTGTACATAAACGTAAAAAACAAAAACTAGCCATTGATTAATTATTTTGTACATATAAAATACTACATTTATATTTTCCACATATTTGAATATGAAATTTGGTATATATATATATACAGACTTTCCTTAATTAAGTATATGAATTAATTGTCTAATTATAAAATTAAATTAATCATTTCTCTTATTGTATGTGATATCGCGACATTTAGCATTTATTTCACGATTTGCGAATTGTGAAGGGGACGAAAGACGTAATGTGCCACTACAAGCACAGGATTGTATTTTTGCATTTGGATAGGGATCACGTTACCATGAGCCATTTTAGGCACAACTATCTTTGCTCAGTGCTGCGCACCGCGACGAGTCGCGACGCGATGCGTCTACGCCGTCCATGGACCAATCGCGTTTTCCGTTACGCAAAAGCAGTCACTGACCAAAATAAAACCGGGTCCAACATTTCTCTTCGTCTCATATCTGCGTACGATTTTGTGTAAGATTTGTATATTTTATATCCATATATTGAATTTTTTAATGTAAATCATCTTGCTTCCCTTTTTCTTATTCTTTTCTTTTTTAACATATTTTGTACCATTCTCTCATCATCATTCTTTTTGATCGATGACCGAGCTTGATTGATGTTAAGATATACATATACTAGAATCAGCTTTCTAAAGTTCTATTTAAGTTTTATTAAATTTATGGTAAATATTAGAGAACAATTAGCTGACTTTTACAAAAGTTTTGCATAATAAAATAAATACATTTATAAAAACAGATTATTGCATATAAATATGCGTTATTTCATTTGATTTTAAAGTTTATTGTTACATGTATATAATATATTTATATTATGTATATATAT